ACAGTACTTTGATGACACACACCCATCGGTCTAAGCAGCGCTGCTTCAAATCGAGCGTGGGCCATCAGCAGAAAAAGAAAAGAAATAAAACGGTAAACAGCCAAAGGATGTAACTTAGAATGGGAGATGGATCGGTTTGTGAAAGGGAAGAGGAAAATCATAGATGAAGTTGCACAGACCCAGGCAAGTGCTGGTCATTTAAAAGCTAAATGCAGAAATTATGACGAGGCATATCTTGCTCTCGGCTTCACTCACCGTGTCTATACCGGACGCTACAGTTGTCAACAGCTCTACACTGGATGCGACAAAGAGACCGGTGCAAATCATTTTAACTTTGTGTCAGTACGTCATAAATAGAATAAGGCATCAGTTTAATGTCGCGTCGCATCCAGTGTAGACAGTGTCACTGGTTATAATGGTTTCTACTGTATTTTGGCGCTCGCGTCCGGTGTAGACACGGTGTTTAATGTCGTTGGTGAGGAGGAAAGCCTGTGTGTGTCCTATGCCTTAGCGGACAGCAAGAAACCCACAAAAAATAAATAAATAACAGGGAGAGAATAATAATAATAAGTTATTCTCTCTATGCTATTTTTCAATGTTTCAAATGATGCAGGTGTTTTTTTCCCTGTAGGTTTTTTAAATTACAAAAAAAAAAGTTTCATAATGTTTAGTGAAATTATTTGGTAGTCTGAGGGGGGCACAACCAAAGAAGTTTGAGAACCACTGGTCTAAAGTTAACAGACAGTGTTTAAAAAGTGCAGTGCACATGTTTACATATGTTTATTACAGTGACTTTGAATTACCTAAAGTAGAGTGGTAAAGCAACAGATTTGTTTTTATATTTCTGCAATCTACTTTAGTTTGCGTGATTTGTTACTGACTTTCATATTAATGTTTACACCGTTCTTATTTGTCAGTGCTTTATGTTGTCATAATTATTACATGCTTACAAGGTTGGAAGTTCAACAAATCAGTCAATATACTACTGTGATTGTAGTTGTTAAATAAAAATGTCATTCACATCAATTCATGCATCACCTAATTTCATTGTAACATATAAGCCTGGCCTACAGAAAAGAACATTTATGTTTAATCTATCTAATAGTATGTTGGTCATACTATACAATGATTTATAGCTTGTCTTTGTTGAATAATACAGAACATAACGAGCTTTAAAAAAATAATTGCATATTAAATCGCAATATTGGTAAAAAAAAATCGCAATTAGATTATTTTCCAAAATCGTTCAGCCCCACTTAGAACAAAAACCAACCAATATTTAAAGGGCACCTATTATGCAAAATCCACTTTTACATGTTGTTTGGACATAAATGTGTGCTGGCAGTGTGTGAACACAACCACCCTACTAGGGCTGCTCGATTATGGCAAAAATCATAGTCACGATTATTTTGGCCAATATTGTAATCACGGTTATTTAACACGATTATGAGGGGGCCATATGACCAAAACTTTATACGAGTGATTTATTTAAAGATAGTGATACATATCAAATATATATTTCCTGTAAATAAGGTTGCTATGACATCTACATTGTAGAGACCAGCGGAATTTCAAACAAACAAACAAAAAGTCCTCCAAATTATTGAAAATAATTAAACTGTCAGTAATAAAAAAGCAAAGGACAAATACAATAGAATAAAAAGATACAAATGAAACACACTGTGCTTTAATGTTTTTTTTTATGCAAGTCTCAAGAAGTTTACAGCCTACTACAGAAATGAATAATCAAATGTAAAATAAAACAGCATAGACTGTAAGAATTAAACTTTTTTGTTTCTTATTAAAGCTACAAAAGTCCTTCACTCAAAACCAGTGTGTGATTTTGAATTTGTCTTTTGTTGTTTGATTAATATTAAGCACACAGTCGCAGCAGGAAAATAGCCTGCTGTCACTCTAAGAGCCGCAGGCTCCAATTTACCGTTACACGCGTATTTTCATTCTCAACTCTTTACGTTCATTTATTACATGATCGATGAAGGTATACATGAATAATCACTAAGCGCAGCATTTGACACATTTTTGCGTGTACTTGACCATTTAGACCATTTATGAATTGCACAGCCCTACACCCTACACTGTAAAAAAAATCTGTGACATTTACGGTAAAATACCTGGCAGCTGTGGTTGCCAGAACTTCACCGTAAAAAATATGGTAGCAACATTTTAGGTTTTACAGATTTAACTTAAATTCACAAAAAATACCGTATTTCATTAACTGATGTAATGTTAATAAACCAACATATTGAAGTGTTAATATCTGTTTTGAACCATTGAAATAAACCGATAACCACCAAAATCTGGTGGTGATGAGAAAGTCACATGATGAACCAAAGCTCATCACAAACAGCCATTTATTACATGACCGATGAAGGTATACATGAATAATCACTAAGCGCAGCATTTGACACATTTTTGCGTGTATTTGACCATTTAGGCGTGCACCTTGAGCTAAAAGATGACTTTACATGTCTGTGTTCTGTTCCATCTCTGAGCGCATATATATTCCTGAGGAGCAGTGCAAGTTCTTTCACGCTTTTAAAAACATGAATAAATATACTTCTATAAATCAAGCACCCCCCATTTTGCAAAAGTCACGTTACATGATTGTACTGATTTGCACGTGAAATTGGGCTTTTATGGAGGAACGAAAGTGCAGCGCTGGAAAAGAGGGCGGAATGGGGCGCAATAATCGTTTTATCTCGATTATTGTATTTTCATAATCGTCGGAGGCCAAAATCGAAATCGAAACCGTTTTTCAATGAATTGCACAGCCCTACACCCTACACTGTAAAAAAAATCTGTGACATTTACGGTAAAATACCTGGCAGCTGTGGTTGCCAGAACTTCACCGTAAAAAATATGGTAGCAACATTTTAGGTTTTACAGATTTAACTTAAATTCACAAAAAATACCGTATTTCATTAACTGATGTAATGTTAATAAACCAACATATTGAAGTGTTAATATCTGTTTTGAACCATTGAAATAAACCGATAACCACCAAAATCTGGTGGTGATGAGAAAGTCACATGATGAACCAAAGCTCATCACAAACATCTTTTCTATGAGCTGAGGAGGGTAGTTCTTATATCTAGAAGGTGCACACAGTCTCATTCACACAAACACTAAACCCCATCATGGTGACACCCACGGTACTGAAATAATGCAATAAACATTAATTTAACTACATCAGATGTAAGATTAAACCCTAATGTACACAACTGATAAGAAAAAACGAATTTCAACAAAAAAAAACATCAAATATGAAGTGTGATGCAGGAAATTCTGGGAGTGTCAATTTACGTTTTTTCACTGTGAATTATACAATGACTTTTTCTTTTTCACTTCCAAAAACCTTATTTTTAACAGTATTTTACTGTAAAATTACATTAAATGTAATTACATTTATTCACCGTATATAGTATGGAAACTTACTGTTAACCAGTTAACAGGTTTTTACTGTAGCATTTTTACAGTCTTTTACTGTTAAAATCACAATAATGTTTTACAGTGTACAATGATAAAAATCCCCCCACACTTTATTTTTTAATCCACATTAAACCAAATCAGTCTCACTATGTCATTTTGATTCTCTAAACAATGTGACTACATATTGCTTAGGCCCCGCCCACAGCAGCTGACTGACAGCCCTGCATTGCCATAGTTTCTGCCAACATCAAATATGAAGTGTGATGCAGGAAATTCTGGGAGTGTCAATTTACATTTTTTCACTGTGAATTATACAATGACTTTTTCTTTTTCACTTCCAAAAACCTTATTTTTAACAGTATTTTACTGTAAAATTACATTAAATGTAATTACATTTATTCACCGTATATAGTATGGAAACTTACTGTTAACCAGTTAACAGGTTTTTACTGTAGCATTTTTACAGTCTTTTACTGTTAAAATCACAATAATGTTTTACAGTGTACAATGATAAAAATCCCCCCACACTTTATTTTTTAATCCACATTAAACCAAATCAGTCTCACTATGTCATTTTGATTCTCTAAACAATGTGACTACATATTGCTTAGGCCCCGCCCACAGCAGCTGACTGACAGCCCTGCATTGCCATAGTTTCTGCCAACAGCTGTTGTATGCTGTCCTCCATTTTCTTGCAGCTCATTTGCATTTAAAGTGATGCACACCAAAACAGCGCTTTTGTAGGCATGCTCCAAAAATGACATTATCCACACATTATAATAAATCTGTTCAGATTTTAAAAGTCATGAAATGCCTTAAGAGATGTCACTGACAGAGGTTCTCTGTGCCACAAGTGTACATATTCTACTAACTGATAATGAATTTCCCTGGCTAAATATTACATTTAAATATTTCTCTTTTTCTTCAGCATTTTGGGATACTATACTTTGTACCATTTGGTCCGAGAGAGGTTGACGAAGGGAGAGGTTCAAAATATTGGTGATTGAGAGCAAAACGTGACTCACAAAGCCTCATGCCATACTGTACGTGACAAATAATTGTCATCTGTGCCTCCATTCAGACGGCATATCAACCAAACTTGCTCCTTAAATTTGAAGGAATTTCAGGAAATTCCTTCAAATCAGGAAATCAAAAACCATGGCATGTGAGTTAAAGAAAAAAAAAGTATTTAATGACACTTCTGTTAATCATTCATAAAAAGTACCTCACAAATCAAGATTCTGTATGCATCTGAGACAACATCTCAATACTCTAATAACAAGCTCATTCTTAAACTGGAATGGAAAAAGAGTACGGCCTTTTTGTTTGTATGGTCTTGTTTTTGTTTTGTTTTTTTGCATATGGTCTTGACTTGCATAAACAAACAATTTGCACAAGGTCTGCATGATATATCAAATCATGATCGAATCATGATATGGCTTAGTGTGATTATCAAATAACAAAGGCTGCAATGTAATTAAGTATACTTGCTGGATCTCAGAGCGGCTCCGTTCATAGAAAATTCTGCGTATTATGAACTCAATTTCGGCATGAGCTGTGAGTTTGAGATGCTTATAACTTATTTCGCCACATTTGTATTGAGAAGTGTTTATAAACCTGTTACCAACAGAGGAGAAGACATAAATATTAGTTCTGTCAGGACCACTATTGTCAAAATGATAGATACTTAGCATAAAGTTTGGTTTGGTGGTATGGTTCTGTTCTGGGCAAAAAACTCCCTGCCGATCCATGCAGCCTGTCATGAATGAGCTGGGAGAGCAGCAATAATAACCCCCCTAGGGTTAACAGAACAGAACAAGGCAGATATCATTAATGTACTTAACGATATTTAAGTGTAACACTTTATTCAAGATAAAGGAGTCTGATTAGCAAGGAATATCAGAAAGCCAAGTCCTGACTGTGGCGAAAGGAGGAGCTGGGGATGGAGGAGGGTAATTTGCTCCTGAGCAAGCTGAAAAGCTGCTGAATAATACTGAATAGAGCTTAGATAGGAATGCCGCGATAGGTGTCGTATTCCTATAGCTAGATGTGATCAGCTGATGCAAGCTTGACTCACGTGACCGGCCAGAGCTAATGCTAACGCTTAATTATTGCAATTTTACAGTTGTACTATAAAATAAAATAATTTTTATTTTTATTAAACAGTTGATAAATTATTAGAAATGATAAATTAATTAAAATGTGTGAATAATATTTTTTTAAGTCACAAAATGATCAAATTATGACTCGACTAATTTGGGTGATGTTAATGCATTTTTACTGCATATCTGTCTCTCTTCCAGTACAGAAGAGGATTGTATATGCACCTATATACGATTACATTATGTATTTCAACAGTTTGAAAACATAGAAGAACAAATTATTCAATAAAACCCTTAATGATTTACTATTGATCCTTAAAAAAAGGTTACTTAATTAATCATCCAAATAATTCGTCGATTACCAAAATAGCCAATAATGACTGCTTGACCTGCCTATTCCAAGATTTCCATTACAAAAATTGTAGCTTGTCACTTGGGCAGCACCCTTTGTGCTCCTTCTACCCCTAAAGGGTGTAAATTAGTACCTTAAGTTACCCATAAAGGGATAGTCACCCAAAAATGTTAGTATAATTTACTCACCCTGACGCAGTTCCAAACCTGTATGCCAATTGCACGACAACTGTAAGGTATAATTGTTCCAGTTTTCTATCACTGGTAATGAAAAATAGCTAAGCCTACTTTTTCATGGATTAAGCAATGAGAAAAGACTAAAACCCCTGATAAAGTATATGTGTGAAGTCACACTAAGCGTAGGGTGTTAAGTTGTGTGTGCGTTTCTAAAATTAGGAACAGCTCTTAGACACAGGCCTATATGTCTCCTTGGCAACATAATAACCACCCCAGTTTTACTTACAGCATGCGAGAAAAAAGTGCACCAGAAATCTCCAAAGCTCCTACTCTGTGCAATCCATGAAACAAAAATTATTGAAACAGTGAACCAATGCGCGAACAACATCAATCCATCCCAGAAACCATTCTCTCCCATCAGAAGAGGAATTCAGTGATGTAATCTACTTGAATCACTGGTCTGTTACAGCACAAAACTCATGGCCCCCAAATGTTATATGAGGTGTGCTGCTAAGAAGAATAGATCCCGTGGCGTGGGGTGGATAAATGTACAGATACATAGATACATCCTGGTCCTGGTTTTTGCTGATCTGGCTCGTGTGCATGCACCAGTTAATTCATGATCACTACTGTATGTGATGGAAGTGCTGGCCTTTGTATAGGACGTATTTAAGTCCAGATCGGCATCCAAACACCTGCTTTTCTCCTTTAATTCTCCTTTTCCTGTCTTCATAATAACTCACAGTTAAAACAGGATACTTTGTGATTCATTTGCTACTGAATTCCCTGCAAGACCCCCTGATGCAAGGAGGCCCAGATGATCATAAAACACCGGTGCTGCATTGCCAGGATTTATGAAGCTCTTCAACTAAACTACGCATCGAAAATGACAAACTTATAAATAATGCTTAGGTTATGGTGCATGTTATTAAAGTGACAAATAATAATTCATTATAAGAGAGAGATGCGGATGCGATGAGAGATGCGCCGCATCCTGACACACAAGACATCCTGATGGCTGAACTCAAGCCATTGAATAATTATTTGTCAGTAACATTGTTATTATTTTGCATAAACTATGTAACAGCAGTGATCAGATCAATGATGATAAAAATGATGTTTTGAGGGAATTACCTATACACAGGCTCCAGCCTCTGTCTGCGATGCTGTCGCTGTTGCTCTTTCTTTTCTGTCTCTTTGTGTATACGTATTATTTTTGGCCGTAATGCATATTATATTAGGTTTGGCTTTAAATGAAATCCCTCAATCTGCTCTGTGTGTTGTCCAGTTACCGCAAGTGTACGATGAAGATGGACCGATCCATTGCTCAAATAGGGGCGCGTGGACTGCACGCTGTTTACACAGTACTAATAACACAATATAATTTAACCACAATTTGTCCGTTTGTATTTCATATAGAATCTATATAAATTACTGTTCATTTCTAAACAGTAGATTAAGAGGCATGTGGTGAGTGACCATAATTACCCACTGTGAAATACATGGACTCTTCCGGAGCGCACGGACTCTTAGCAACAAACCAATGTTTCCATCCGGGTTCTCATTCCAGATGACTAGTAATAAAAGGCTAATAATAAATATTACATATATTTCCTATTTCCAAAGACATCATTAATCTTCTTTTCTTCTTTTTCGATGTTATGTTATGAATATAAACCAAATTGCAAGCTATGTGTGTAGATCACAACTAAAAGATGAATAAAAATCACAGTTGGCCCACATAAACAACAGTCGCACTTTACTTTATAAATGTTTTTTATATATATTTGTAAACTTTAATATTGAACATATTAAACATTTGATGAAATGGTAGTGTCATTTGTTGTAACATCACTGTTTAAAATTAATTTGAATAAGTTGGCCTAGAGCCGGGGTGCCCAAACTCTATCCTGGAGGGCCGGTGTCCTGAAGAGTTTAACTCCAACCTCAATTAAACACACCTGAACCATCTAATCAAGCTCTTACTAGGCATGCTAGAAACTTGAAGGCAGGTGTGTTGAGGCAAGTTGGTGCTAAACTCTGCAGGACACCGGCCCTCCAGGACCGAGTTTGGGCACCTCTGATCTAGATGGATGTTTTACTAAAATACAGTAGGCTACTAAGAATTTCTATAAGTTTCATCACTGATGTTTATTTCGTCTTTTCCCCACTTGATGGTGCTACGACTTAACACATCACGGCCTACGCTATTATTTTCTTGGTGCTGGCTTGTTTTTATTTGTGAGGGTATCTGTTGGTAACTGCTAACACAAGTGATTTATTAGGCTACAAATTGATCTCTGGACCAAGTGACTGAAATTCATATGCTAAGAAAAGCACTGACCACCCGGGTATATTTGTTTTGCATCCTGCTACAAAAAAGTAGGCCTAGTTACATTAGTAATTACATTAGTCAGGGCTGAGTAATAGCTACTTGTTAACCTGCACTGTAAAAAAAATTATGTCATTTTTACAAAATAATTTTGGCAGCTGTGGTTGCCAGAATAGTTTTGTAAAAAATACAGAAAAACTGTAAACACATTTACGGCCAAAAACTGTACATTTTACAGTATATAACCGTAATTTACAAACAAGAAAATTTGAATGTAAACCAGCAAATTCAACAATGCACACTGCTATTAAAATCTGTTTTGTACCTTTATCTTAGTCTTGTCTAAGTGCACACAGTATATTTCAATACACTTTGATTGTTGTCAGACTTTTTGTGGTTTCAACAGGAAGAGACCAGGTTGCTTCTCACAAGTTTCCCATACATAAAGTATTAACTTTTCTGCTAGTAAATGGCAGACCTGATAATACTGTAGGTTTCCCTGCTAGGCTAAAATGTAAATGTAAAAAATAAAGAAAATACACCATTGTTACTGATAATACATCCACTGACATACGTATGCAATTCAAATCTCATGTGCAGGTGGCGGGCTAAACCTTATTAAGCCTGATATCACAAAAGTTATATTATTACAAAGTTTGTTTGTAGCTGCTTTTATGATAACAGTGTTATTTATCTATAAAGCTGTCAATTGGAGAGATAATATTCTGTAAACAGATTTTTGGTAAATGCAGTGTAGTGCAATGCTGCAATGAATATCACATAGTTAAAACATATTTGTGTGCATTTTAAAGTCATTTCAGGAGTCTCGATAAAATCAAGATCATTCCAAAAAGAAGTCATTGCTCTTGTGTGGCTGGTCGTTGTAGTTCTACATTAAATAATCAAAAGATGACAGTGTTGTCCTTTTAATTTGCATTGTATTTATAATATTCCTCAATAATATTAAACCTTTACGTTCGATAATCTCTCTGGATAGAATATTGAGCAGCTTTCACTGATTATGCCTTTGACTGAGCAACCAGATGAAAAGATGGATTAGTTGATAACAGCATCTCTTTTGCTGCCTAAATGAAATGGCAAGAGCTCAAACAAGCAGAAGTCATCCACATTTTATAACACATCCTCTGTTAAGCCATTTTGCACTTTTTAAAATACGTTTCAGTTTGCATTGTGGTTTCACATGTTGGAAATGTGTCTTCATAACATGAAACTCCACTCAAATACTGCAACTTTCAGTTTGTTATAGAACACACCTTTTTTAATATTTGCATTTTTCATTATGTTTAACATATGGTGTCGACATGACAAGAAGAGTCGCTCCACTGACATTTAAAGTTGCCCCCTTTTTAATCTAGTTCAAAAACATCAAATAACATTTCAGTCCCTTACAATATAGTTCCCATGCTCAGAACTAGAAATCCCAGGGGATGCTGACAGAATGATTCATATTGACCAACTTCAATGCATTAAATAAGTTCTGTGTTACACATTTAAATGGATTGAAATGAAGTTGAAAATGTTAAAGTTGTGCTCTGTTCTATTCTAGATAAAGCAGCTTATTGTTTATCTTAAAAGCATGCATTGAGCTATCCTTTTTCAATTTATAATGTTAATTCTGTTATCTGTTTATTTAGTGAAAGAATTCTTGGCAAAAGCCAAAGAGGACTTCTTGAGAAAATGGGACTGTCAGCCACAGGTATGGGAGCTTTATTACAATAAACATGATAGGAGACAGTTTTTTAGCAGAACTAATTGACTTCTGACTTGGGTTCTGCAGAGCACATCGTGTCTAGATGACTTTGACAGACTGAAAACTCTTGGCACTGGATCTTTTGGAAGAGTAATGCTAGTCAAGCACAGACAGTCGGGACGATACTACGCTATGAAGATTCTGGACAAAGAAAAAGTGAGTATGCATGCTGTATTGTATATCCTCCTGCAGGTCCCAGCAATTGATTTTTGTCCTCTGTGCAAGACATTTGTTTTTGTGAACTTCTATGAGACATAATATTCTTTAACACACACCTGGTGTCTCTTAATGAGTACATACTGGGTCTTTTAGAAATGCAGAATGTATGTTGTTTTGAAAGTATTTATTTTTAGGTTGATTTTACTATAAAGATATGGAAAAAAAATAGTTGTATCACCATAACAATTAAGGATGTTCTTGTTATTTTAGAGAACATAATAAGCATAATAAGTTCCATAAACTCAAAAGTAAATGATTTAAGACCTGTTCACGTTCTGTTTATTATGAGTGTGTTTATTATGCACTGCTTTTATGCTGTCTGCTGCTTTAAAGGCTCAGCTCTTTCATCTGTGGATTCTGATTAGATGTCATTGTTTTTAGCTTTCGTCAGCTGGGAAAAATACCATTCCTCTGTGTCATCAATGTTATAGCTGTGGTGTGGACTTCTGTATTATCAAAGAATTAGAACAATTATTAATGCTTCGTTCTTTTAAACTTTATCAAAACTTTATAGTTATCGTTAAGCTCAATAAAGTTCAATAAGCTTGAATTTTGAAGCTGAGAAATACTGAGTAACAATATTGCGCATTACTGATGCAACTGCTACTAACTTGACCTTTCCACTAAACTATGTTTGCTTAATTTGTGTATCAGTTAGTGACACAAACTTCAGCAAAAATCATATAGTTTTACCTTTTTGTAATAAAGAATTTATAAAGAATTTAATCATTAAAATTGAAGGAACTTCACCAAAGGGAACATTAATCACCCTAATGGTGACTTAAAAGAAAACATTTTAAAATATTAACAGTAAATAGAGCTAAAACATATATTCATCCGTATGCTTTAACCAAAAACACAAATTATACAAGTTTATTATGGGTGATTAGCAATTATCAGTGATTTGCATGCTCAGCACCAAATTTGACATTGTAAGTCCTTGCTGTGTAATATTTTAAGTTGTTCAAACGAAATCACCTAACTTCATTTTTATGTAATGACAACTTTTTTACTGTATGTTTTCCGCAAATAAATTAGCTACGCAAATTACAGTGGTGGCCCAAATTATTAGAACACCACATAGTATTTTCACCAGCTAAAAAATGGTTTTAAGTCAGTTATTTCTCTCTTTTGCTGTAATGTGTCAGTAGGAAATATCAGTTTACATTTCCAAACATTCATTTTATCATTAATTGTAATAATCCAGTGAGGTTTTTGTCTGATAACAGCCAGTGCTGCGCACAGAGATCTGATCTGATCATCATCCAGTCTGTCTGGAATGACACGAAGAAACAGAACAAACTGAGACAGACTCAATCCAGAAGAACTGTGGAGAACAACGTCTCCAAGATGCTTCAAGAAACCAAAGCTACAATACTATAAAACGTTTTAGGCACTTGTGTAAAAATGCTAAAAAAAATGAGGATGCTGTCAAAAATAATGTTATAAATATATATTTTTTTTATCAATTAACTTCTATTATCTAAATTAAATCAACATTTGGTGTGACCATCCTTTGCGTTTAAAGCAGCTTTTGCCCGAGATGTACTGTGCATAGTTTCTCAGGGAGCTTTGCAGGTAGGTCTCTTGAAGCATCTTGGAGACGTTGTTCTCCACAGTTCTTCTGGATTGAGTCTGTCTCAGTTTGTTCTGTTTCTTCGTGTCATTCCAGACAGACTGGAAGATGATCAGATCTCTGTGTGCAGCACTGGCTGCTGTCAGACAAAAATCTCACTGGATTATTACAATTAATGGTAAAATGAATGTTTGGAAATGTAAACTGATATTTCCTACTGACACACTACAGCAAAAGAGAGAAATAACTGACTTAAAACCATTTTTTTAGCTGGTGAAAATACTAGTGTTCTAATAATTTTGGCCACCGTATATAAAGTTGCACTCATTTGGATTAAACACCTTAATCAAAACACTAATACTGTACATACAAAACATTGTAGGATAAGCGTAATTTGTTTAGATTTTTACATAATCTTTTTTATCTGGGTTACAGAAGACTGTAAAAACTGATTTGCAAATGGAAATGAGCATGATTTCTGTTTGCATGCCTCTATTTAGAAGTAAGTTATTATTTATTCTAAATAACTGAATCCCGATGTTTCCTATAGAGAACAATATAATTAAACTAAATGCATTTTTATGTTTTGCATGCTCTAAACTAAATTGGGATATTCAGTTGACTTAAATTATTTCAAATCAAATTTACAGCATATAGTTTCTTACATTTTCGAACTCTGAAACTGATTGTTATTTTGTAATTTTAGGAAATTCAAAAGCAGGTTAATTGTCACAGTTTCAGTTGAGTCTGGCTGGTCTGGGCATTGTTTCATGTGTCAGAACATAAAGTGAAATGGTACAAATATATCTACAGAGCAGGGAGGAAACTGAAACTTCCTCTGCTGACAAGATCAAACCGCAGCGAGCGGCCTAATGATGTTTCCACTTTTGACTGTCACATAGTCAAGACTGCTAAAGTGTCATGTAACTTATGAAATCTAAACATATTATTGTTATAACAATTTACTGAGAGGATCATGCATTAAAACGTTAGCTATGTTGGCGATAGGAGTCAAATATGAATCGATACTGTGGGTATTACTTAAGTCATTCCGTCTGGATCCCGCTTCTTCATGAATTGAAATTGCAAACAGGGTCATCAGTGCCATGTTAAAACCACAATTATTAGTTATTATTATTATTATTAGAAATAGGGTACAAAAAGGTTAATAAGGTTACCTGCACATTGGTTGTGTAATTGATATTTTAATGAGATTTTATTTATATCTCTTATATTTGAATGTGATTTAGGTAACAGACTTTGGCTTTGCCAAACGAGTCAAAGGCAGAACTTGGACGTTGTGCGGTACACCAGAGTACCTGGCACCAGAGATCATTCTCAGCAAGGTAAGAAAACACGGCAGTAGTTCTTACTCCTCTAGAAGTTAAACAAATCCTTAATGTTTTCTCTCTTTCTTTGTTAGGGCTACAACAAAGCTGTTGACTGGTGGGCATTGGGCGTTCTGATCTACGAAATGGCTGCTGGATATCCACCTTTCTTCGCTGATCAACCTATTCAGATCTATGAGAAAATTGTATCTGGCAAGGTCAGAAGAATTTCAGTCATTTTTACTATGATTTATTTTATTTATTACAGTACTGTAATTGCCAGTAAAATTCCCTCTTGGTGTTGGCCCTACTGTATCTCTGCACTCTGTCCCTATTTCTTTAACTATCTATTTTTACACAAATCATTTTACTCCATCAGTACAATAAAATTAAGTTGCTATATCAGAACAAGTCAAAAAAACAAATTCATCCCAGAAATTAAAATTTGCTGAAAATGTATTCACCCTCAGGCCACCCAAGAAGTAGCTTATTTCTTCTTTGGAACAGATTTGGATCAATTTAGCATCGCATCATTTGCTCACCAGTGGATCCTCTGCAGTGAATGGGTGCCGTCAGAATGAGAGTCCAAACAGCTGACGTCCACACACGACTCCAGTCTATCAATTAACATCTTGTCAAGCAGAAAGCTGCATATTTGTGATAAACAAATCCATCATTAAGACCGTTTAAACTTCAAACTGTTGCTTTCTGGCTAAAATACGAGTCCTCTATCCATATGCTTTTTTCTAGTGGAAAAGTAATCTTGTCTGAATTAGAACATAAATATGCACAGATCTGTTGAAACTGTTCTAAACAAATATGTTGCTGGTTTTGATGTGAGAGCACAACAGGGAATGGACTTCTTTTCTGAGGAAGTGATATATGGACTTATATTTTTGGAGTTTTACTCATTTTTCTAATGTATTTTTACATTTAATTTTATTTGTTTTGTTAGTACATAACAGAAAATATGATGCAAAATATTGTTCTAAGTTGTTTTTAAAAATAACATCTTTAGAGTAAGCAAACTAAATTAGTGAACTAAATAGTTTAAACATTCTCATACATATTACAGTTTTTCTGAATTGCTACAACACTAAACCCCAATCTCCGAACCAAATTCTCACTAGCTTAAACCAATTTGTCAAATAAAGCACTCTTTCTGCTAAACCTTAAACACGTTCAGGCAGTTAGGCTCTATTTGCACATCTCATGCACTCTTTTTGCAAAACTCTAAACACATTCTCATTCACTTAAACACTTATCCCACTGTGATGCATTTGTGCTGCAAAATGCTAAACACAAGCGGCAAAAGTTAAACACTACTAAAGCACAGCTGTCATCGTTTACACACATCGATTCAAAATTGTTCACACTTGTTTCTAATGATGTGATTAAACCAACTGTACAAAATATGAGCCAGTTCAGAGTGCACAAGTGGCACAGGTGACTGAATGATGATACGAACAATAGATGGAAACAATCTGAGAAGGAGAGGAGGGAGAGTACATGTAAGAAGCGGAGGATGAGGAGAGAAAGAGGAAGGTTTAGAGAGTGTTATCAAGGCTGGATCTGTCATTTCTCTTTGTCTAGCAAAAAAAGACTACATTACTTGTGATGTGGACAAAGTCCTCAGGCCGGACTCAAGCACAAAGCCATGATGCTGAGACAGAATGAATCTCTCATTGACCCTGATTTTACAATCGCACAACTTGTGTACTGTAACATGCCATTCATTTAGAGTTTTAGTTGAACTTTTTGGCCCTTGCAGTTGGACTGCAGTATTTTGCAGTAACCATGTGCTGAATATATATACCAACATTCAGTACAATACTATTCTTGCAGTACATACAGTAGGCCTATACAATATATTCACCTTACTCAGTTGCGTTACACTGCTGTTGCTAATCTAAAACACTTTTAGCAAGACTAATTCTCAGTGATTAGAGTACTGTAAATGAAGTACACAGAGAAAGTGCAACTATACAATAGTTCACCAAATACTACACAAGACCAATGCTGCAGACTGACGAAAATATCATTGATTTCTCTCCATATACTCAAATCAGTCAACATGGAGAACCACAACAAAACATGTCCCACTTGTCATGCTACTACAGTAGTGTGCATAACACCGTTAGCTCAGCAAACGTAAAATACTGTATCCAGTACAGGTTACAATTACAGTAAACCATAAAAAATAATCTGAAAAAAACTGACAATATTGTACAGAAAATACTAAAGTAAACATACTATACATTATCTCTTCGCCTAGCTGGATCTGGCCAGAGAATT